GTTATATATCATGACCAGTTAGATATATTATTTTTATAATATACTTAAACATGCACAATACGTTTCTCATTTATATAGCTTCAGTATGTTAATAAATTAACAGGTACTTTATTAGCTTCTGGTTTTTGTAAATCAATACATTATTGATTACATTTTTTTTTTTTTAAGTAAATAATTCACAGTGTAATAATAATGTATCAATCATTTTAAACTCTAAATTTTCAATTTTAATAAACAAATACTCTTAAGTTTTTGTYAAATAGATACTTTAATTACATACTATTTTTAGAAACTCATTTAAAAATGTCACAATACTAATTAGAATGTATTTACTAAATACAATATTATCTTTGAATCATTTAATAAATGTAAATGTAAGTAATAGTAGCAGTATGCATTTAATAGGTAAATATTTAGACAATATGTTAAACATACCTATAAGGTAGTAAACAGTAATTTTTGTTTAATAAATCACACAAAAYAATTATATATTATAATTAATTGTATGGATATTGTCATATTGATAAGATCTATTCACATTCACTAAATTAAACTAATTGATTACCATTACCTAGATGTTCACTACTTAGTTTAATAAAACTATAAATGAATTCAGAAATAAACAATTACCTACCTACCTCATTATATTATTAATTTTAAATAAATTTATTATAGTTACTACTAAGTATAATGATTAGGTATTTAAATGTTCTCAATCTGTAGCTAGGACGATTTTAAATTATTTGAATTAAAAATGTTGAATTAATCCTGAACAAATGTAAATGAATAATGATATTATAAATCACAGAAAATTAAACACTTAAAACAATAAAGGGTTATTAATGTTAACATGCTTTTAGTTTTATAATAATCAAAATGTATGAAAATACTAAAATAGCAAATGACACCCAGTACATTTTAATAGGTGTGTAAACAAATTCTAATTCATGTTTAACAAAAATTTATGCTTTGTCATAGATAAAAAATAAAAATTTTCTTGAGTCATTAATCGTAATATAAGTGTCAAACGACGCAAAAAAAATTGTCGAGTACTAGTTGTAAGTAAATACGTAATAGGTATTTCTTAGAAAAAAGACGAGATCGCATAATATAATACATTTATATGCTATATGAGTACATATTTTTTATGTACACATACATTATCGACGAATGTACTCGATTATATGGATTAAAGCATTCGTGTGAGACAAAATTATATCAACGAATAACGTCTAGTTGGATATTACTCACTCGAACATTACTGCAGGCGGTGTAATCAAATCCTTTCGGGGACCATAAACTGAACAGGTCCTCATAAACATTATTATGACATAAATAATATAGTGTGTGTATAATACATTTATATAAACAAAACAAATGGATATAAATATTTAAACTAATTAGCGTAATGTAAACAGACAAAAATTAAATTAAAAAAAAAATATATATATAACAAAATAAACGAAAATTGCACTAAGACGAAAACAAAAACAAAACAGTCCGACCGCCCCGGACCGTGAAGCGTTATCACGTATTTGTAATATTATATGGTTACGAATAAATTACGTGCCGTGATTGCAGCGGACGGTAGTGTGTGTGTTCTGTGTAGCGAGTGTGCCGTACGCGCGCGATTGCACACGTACGTACGCGGGTCGACACTCGACTTGCCGCCCGCCCTGGAAGGAGGCTACCACCCGGCGGGGGTACTCGGCACCCGCGGACGACAACGAAAATCCATTCTCCCGCACCACCACTCGTTCGCGCGCCTTGGGGAACCGGTGCCGCCAACCTGCTGGGCGCCGGGACATTCGCGGTCACGCCGTTTGCTAGACGTATGGACGAATGGTAGTGCACTTTAAAAACACAAATTCGTTATTAAACGCGATCTAGATTCTAGCGCTCCAACAGTCCAACACTTGTAAACGCAGTTAAATGTTAAAGTGTTACGGCCGTCGAGAATTCGTTTTATTCCTTCGTCCGTATTTTACGTTAAATAATAATAGATATTACATTTTTTTTTTTTGTCTTTCCCGTCGCCATTGTGTTGCACGCGAATACGTCCATTGTACCGAAGTGAACGTCCGGTCCGTACCGCCCGATCCGTCGTTGTCATTTGGACTTGCTGCGCGCCATTAGTCTCGCGTTGTGTGTTGACGACGTAGAAAATCGTTGCATTCTAAACCCTGTGATATTTGTCTTGTACAGGTGAGATCTCGTCAAAAAATTGTATTTAATGTGTGTTTCCTGGCGTCAGATTAATTGATCCGGATTGGCTTTACCGTAGATACGTCGTGACTCGCGATGTCGACGTAGACTGTTTGTACACAGACTTTTCTTCAGTTCAGTACTGTTAGCCTACATTAACCGTTGCAATGCCAAGCATCGGAGTCAATCTTCGTGTGACCGGTTATTGTAACCAGGGCGGTAGGAAGTACATGGAAGATATGTTTTCGGTTGCGTACCAGCAGACACCCGACATGAAAGACCTGGAGTACGCCTTTTTTGGCATATTTGATGGACACGGTGGTTCGGAAGCAGCTGCATATGCCAAAGACCATTTGCTTGACACCATCATCAAAGATGATGCATTCTGGTCAAAAAACGATGATGACGTATTAAGAGCTATCCGTAATGGTTACATAAATACTCATATTGAAATGTGGAAAAACTTAGGTACATACATTTGCATGCATTTACTTATAAAGTAACAGATGAATAATGTATTTAATTGTTTAGAAAATTGGCCGAGAACTCCATCAGGTTTACCTAATACATCGGGTACCACAGCAAGCATAGCATTCATAATGAGAGGAAAAATTTATACTGGTCACGTTGGTGATAGTTGTATAGTACTTGGTTATCAAGACGAAGGTAATAATTTTAATTAATTTTTTTTACAATAGTTTTTCAAAATTATTCACACATAACTTTTCCTATTTTAGAAAACGGAGAGTGGAAAGCTAAACCGTTAACACGAGACCATAAACCAGAATCATTTGAAGAAAAAATAAGAATAGAAGAGTGTGGAGGAAAAGTTATTAATAAATCTGGTGTTCCTCGAGTAGTATGGAATAGGCCTCGCATTGGTCATAAAGGTCCTGTACGCCGATCAACTACAATTGATGAAATACCGTTCCTAGCTGTAGCTCGTGCGCTTGGCGATTTTTGGAGCTTCAATTCTGAGCATAATAAATTTGTTGTATCTCCTGAACCAGATGTTGATGTTTTTGATGTTGATCCTTCTAAACATCGTTGTTTGATATTTGGTACTGATGGCTTATGGAACGTTCTTTCAGCAGATGTAGCAATTTCAAATGTGTATGGAACAGAAAAACATAATATTGAAATGAAATCTTTAGAAGTAAGATAAACATATTATTAACAGATTTAATTTCTTTTATAACATTTTTTTTTTTCAGAAACAAGATTGGTTAAATCCGTCAAAAAATCTTGTCGACAAAGCAATATTACAATGGAATAAGGTGAGATTGAGGGCTGATAATACCACAGTTATTACATTAATGTTAGATCCACCTGGTCCACCTGCTCCACAAGTACTGTTAAAGCATAAAATGCAGACTGGTAATATGAAATGTGAAGATAAAAATAGCTGCAAATGTGTTGATGGAGATCCACAAGTTCAAAGATTTGGTAGAGGTTCAAGTGGCGGATATGCCATATTTACTAGATATCCTACAGATCATCATCTAAGAGCATCTAGTGCTCTTGCCAGCACTTCAAATCCGTAAGTGACTTGGTGTTACTTTAATACTTTTTCATGTTTAATGTTTTTATTTTTTATTTTTGTATAGATATCCTAATAATCCTATAGAATCAGCACCTTTAAAAACAAATAAAATACTCAGAACATCTGCAAAAATTAATAATAATCATAATAATAACAACAATAGTGCTAGTAAAAAAGATAGTCAACCAGCAGAAAAGAGGTGTACTCGGACAAGTAGTGGAAGAATTGTCAAAAAACAAAAATTAAACGAAAAGTCTACAATTAATGATGAGGCTTCAAAATTTGGAAATAGCGATTCTGAAAATGAGCAAATGCCACGTGAACCTTGGMTATTGTCTCCAACTAAATCAATTAAACCTGAAGAAACTAAAGTGGGTGTAGTATTAAGAAGTTCTGGAAAAATCCAGAAGGTATGGAAATGTAATGACTCCAAAGAAGATTCCACTCCAACTAAGATTACAACAATATCAAAAATTAAGACACCTTTGACAGAACCAATGACTAGAATATTAAGGTCACACAAAAAAAAAGATAGTAGAAGATTCAAAAAAGTTGCATCTAGATCATCTTGGTCAGCAGGCATGGTAACTCGTAGTCATAGGAGAAGTGTTAAGTATTAATTATTTATTTTTTCCCTATGTTAACTTTACCACATTTTTTTCAACTACAAATACCATTTTATGTTTAAATTTTTTAGTATTGTTTTTATTGTATGTTTGTCATATTTTTGCTTATAACACAGAAATAATTATTGTGTTTTCCCTTTTCTTATTTGTTTTACCTAACAGAAATATTTTAATTTTTTTCAAATTCGAACGGATATAATCTTTTATGTTTTTTTTTTTCAACTAATTTAAAGCTTTTTAACTAATTACATTTTGTAATTATTTATTCAACTCATTAGTTATGCTATTGATTAATTGTACATTTTATAAAACCAATAATTTTATTATATTTTTTTCCTTTTAGAAAAATTGTTAAATGAAAATATTTTAAAATTTAATTAATAGTTATGTATAAAACAACTTTATTTTTTTAATTGTAAACATTGTGTTATAAACATATTTACATTATAATTGTTTACTGGATGTGAAATGTAAATGTTTGTTGAACCTATTAAGATTAAAATATTAAATCATACATATTTATATTAAAATTAACAATTTTTTTTCTAAAAACTCAATTCCTATATGACATTGAGTAACCATCGATTCACTTTTTTTACAACCTGTAGTGTGATGGTGTATGATTGGAACATCCTGAATATTGGGGTAGAATGGTACTTTTGAATGAATTTAGGGCAGAATCAGTGTTAATAGAAGTAATGATAACAACAATCTTAACATATACTTATTATTAAGATTATACTTAACATATAATGGACACTCAGTTGCTTAAATTTCGTCCGTTAAGGTAGTTTTATTGTATATTGTATTCTATAAATGGATTTTTGGATATGTCGCTATTGTGCATGTGTGGTGTGTATCATGGGACTCAGAATATCGTCAATATGTGTAAGCTTYTACTCTCATAGAATAAGTGAAACCTACTAGCTAAATTCTAAAACTGGTTGTCCCATCTGTATACAGTTATTATATTATCTGAAATCATGGCTTTGTCTTTGGTAGTTTGGTGCCAGAATGATTGTACTATTGTAGTATAATTATTGTAYAAGTAATATTGATAATATGGCTTATTTAAATGATAACGTATGCCACGCCCCTCTGGCATCTGCATTCAAGGCCACAAGTCACCAGAATCGGATAAACTATACGGCCGTTTCGCCGTTTACATTCAATTTCACCAAATGTGACACTCGACGCAAACGCATCTGGTGATTTTTTTTCAGATGGAGTTAAAATATATTGTCAAGGAAAGCGCGGTAAATTTAAATACAAGTTATCAACAATACTGCTTGTTATAAGGCATAGGACTATAAAAAAAAAAATAGTAGCTTTTGCATATTTGTTTTGCACAGTAACAAAAATAGCAGTGTACGAAACAAAATATGTTAGTACACACTACACAGTTAGTTTTGAAATTTCATTTTGCATTTAAATGCATATTTTGGGTCATTTTTTTAGGACATATTTAACTTAATTTAATTTTTAGATTTTTCCATACTGACAGTTTTATTTCAACAAATACAGTCTTGTTTTTAAAAAAATTATTTATTTTTAACTTTTGTTTGCCAGCACTCGCTTTTTCTAAAAGCATCTACAGAGGAAAATTATTTAAACTAAACTATTATTATTATTTTTTTTTTTGTGTGTGCCAGAAGAAAAAATATAAAATTAAGTAAAATATATTTTGTTTATTTGGCTATGGTGCAAAAAATATTTGAATTATGTGATTGTATTGTTTAGACTGTTTTACATGCTGTTTATTTTATTAACAATTTTAAATAAATTCACTAAAAAAAATTTAAGTGCATAAGTGCCTGCATATTTAGAGCTACAAGTCTTCTTTCTTACTGCTTATTTAGTATCACACAATTGTTATTTATTTTGCAAATTCAAATACAATTATTGTGAAATCTTGTATTAAATATAACAAAACATTGAACAAATAACATTTTTTTTTCTTAAATAATGCACTACACGTCATCGTTCTCTTCGCTATTTTATATTCTATGACTCTATCTAGGTATATTAATGGATGTGGATCGACTGAATCGTTATTTTTACAAAAATTAACTTATGTACGTAAAAATTGTACTCACATAATATATCAACATTGGGTATTTTGTTGTACTTGAATTTAAGATTATTCAAAATGCCTCATATAGAGATGGAGGTAACCACAGATAGATCACAGGATAAACGAAATACCTAGTATCCAAGAGTAGAACCATTTTACTCAATTTTTCGATAGGTAATATTCCAGATATCCAGATACTCGACTAAATATTTTTATGAAGTAGGGTAATCACTTTTAGTGTAAAGTTTGTCATAAAAATGAATGATACTTCTTACAAAATACTTTTTTTATATTTCTGTATAATACACAAGCCCGTGATTAAGGGGGGGGCATGGCCATGGGTTCACAACTATTAATAATAGGAGCTTAGCAGTTACTAGGTAGCAGATTTTCTATAATATTTAGAATATTTAGATAATGCCCATAGGCGTAAATTGGGGGGGGGGGGCTTTGGGGAGCTTAGCCCCCCTAAAAAATAGTATAGCCTTGTTATAAATTTCTTATGTTATAAATTATAAATTATAATCTTAGCGTTAGCCCCCCCCCCTTCTAGCAAGCCAAATTTACGCCTATGATAATGCYATAATGGACATTATAATATTATTTCTCTTTGACCCAGGTCAAGATTGTCTAATTAGGACTTGGTGATACCATTTACCCATCAGGACGTATTTAGGACAGGACAGGTRCACAAGACACAACTAAAGATAGTATTATCTAAAGCCATGATATCCATAATCAATGCTACAGCCAGCAGCTGCAGCTGACTGCTGCTATAGTTGCTACCCACACGGCCMCACCACAGGGCCACAGCTGCTTGTTATAGATAGCGTATTTAATCGTACTACTACAAAAACTAATGCTATGGCCTATAATCAATGGTGCTATCACCTCTAGTTAATACCAGCTACTCGGTCTCGGTGTTATGTACTATGTACATGTTTTTGCTTTGATTATCCGTGGTTAAGTACTAAATAGTTATTTAGTTTATAGTTATTARTTTAAAAATTCATTATGGGCCGAATGCCTAGTCAATTTTTTATCTAAAAATTTTATGTTCTTAAATTCTTTATTTATCATTAATCAGTTATTTATTTATATTTATTATAATCTATTTTTAAATCTCTAGTCACTACATTTTATTTATGTGCCTTAATTTATCAAGATGGAACACATAAAAACTCCAAAAGTAATTTATATAATTCCTAGTCACGTCCTTTTAATTATAAAATATAAATATTGAAAATATATTTAATAAATAAGAGTTGGGTATTTTGTTGGGTGCTTGTGGCTGAGGTTAACACATTATGCATGTGTGCTGGATACCTAGAATCCTTCTTAAATTATCCTAATCTACACAATCCCTAACCTACCCACCTGTAGTGTTTAATTATTCTACCTGGAGAGGTTATGGCAAGTGGTTTGTATTCTGTAGTTACTATAGTAGATCTAACCCAGGTTGTTGTGCATGCTTTTGTAGGACACGCAGTGAGTTGTGTGTATAAATCTGTAACACATGCAGTTGTATGGCCGAAAAAGACAGGTTCGTGTCACCGGCTGGCTTCCGTCTATATCGTTTGTCATCGGCTCCCGGATCGTACTCTCTGTTCTGCCGCTTGAGGTCGTGGCTACAGCGTGAAGCTGCCATGGCCAAAGTGGCCAGGCAACAGCAACAGGACGGTTCGGTCATTAAAAAGGTACAACGTGTTATTCATTTAAAAAAGAATGCCGATTAATAATTAAAGTTACTATAATAATTTTTAAAAAATTCTACTGTATTTCATATACATTATGATGACTTTAAGACCATTATTTTTTTAAACAAAACATTCATTAGATTAGTTTTTAAATTGTTAACAACAGAATATAAATAAATAATTTTTAAAACCCATTATTGCAAAAGTTTACCTTAAAATTTGCATGACTTGCATATGTCATATATGCATGAAATAATAATCCCTTATCCACTTATTGTGTATTCACATATATATTTTAAAAACAATTTGTCATTAGTTTTATTTTCAGCAATATTACATTTAGGTGCTGTTTTAATTATTTATTTTGTTGGGCCTAATTCTCTTGTAGTTTAGAATATTAATTTGACTAATTTCTAATGAATACAATTATCAGAATAATTATATACCTAACTAAAGCAAAAGTTTTACATAAACTATTATCTAAATATCTAATACATACTTACTAGATAGAATTCTATAATGACTTAAATGATTGATCATAATTTCAATATTAAGTAAGATGGAGAACTTATTAAGAATTTTGAACAATTTGTTGATTACGATAGTATGAGTGATCCAAAACAACAATTTTAGACCAAAATATGAGTTGAGATGATACTTAAGATAAAATAACAATTATTATTTTACTCTGAGATGAGGAAAAGTGAATCGGATGTCCTACACTTGGTCCCTGATTTTTGTTGTGCTTATTTTTTTAAGTAATACTTACTTAATATATATTAGAATAAACAGAATGTATTTATTAACACCAAYGACATTTATTAAGCACTAAAACCACCTATATAATGTAAATATATATATGCTATAAAGTACAAAACATAATCAATATCATAACAATTTATATTATTAAACAATCTATTMACATTAACATAAGTTGAGTTATGAAAAAAAAATGTATATATTTAACAGCTTATTTAAATTTAATGAGACCATGTGATTAATTATTCCTGGTTTAATAAATTGTTAAAACTTAAGAAACTATTATATATGTGATTTCKYAACTAAAAATTAATWTGTTATACATAAATTTGAAAATTGTTTAGGTATAAGAAAATGATATATTTGAAAACTTTATCAACATATTTAAGTATACTTACTCTATTGAAAGAAATATTTTAAATTGTTAAAAACAAACCTTACTTTCTAATTTCATAACAATAAAAAAATAACAAAATTCATATTGTAAACATTACCAAAAATGTCTTCAATTATTCCAACATCCTCAGAAAAAATTTAACTTGATTCATTCAATTCAAAATATCGAGAGTAAAAATGTAGTTACAACCTACTTATTGATTAGTTCTTAAAAATTAACCATTAATTGTTTTATCAATGAGAGAAGGAGCTCCTCTGTTCACTAAAGGCTAGTTCGCTTTTATATCATATTATATTTTAAGCTTAATACACATTAGGATTGTTTTGTAGTTTGCTAGAAATGTTATTAAATTACCTATGTTTGTAAATTTGTAATATTAAGATTTCACACACTAATAAATAATTTAGCTATTCTAAATAAAATTGTTCTCAATTATCATTATGATGCTATAAAAAATATTGCATACTAACTAAAAAATATAGTTAATAGTAGTCATCATTTTAATTTTTAAGATAAAACATAATATGCTTTTTAAAAATATAAAATGCATGATGTAAAATTTGAAATTAGAAAAAATCATGTGTTTACAATAACTTTGTGTAGGTATTTATAAAGATCTAATGTGGTTTACTTTGAAATATTCAAGATGATATTTTGCTTTGTGACTAATAACATAATCATTTTTAGCTTASGTATTGACATTTTTTAAAATATATGAGAAAAATTATTGTTTTACAATTATTTTGAACTATCACATATTTCTTCTGAACAAATTTCCGACTATGGTCAAGTAATAACAATATTAGTCAACGAGTCAACCACGACATTAGAATTCTCTTCTTGTATTTAGTATTATTTGGTTTTAYAATAAACTATCGTATTCTTCACCTCAAATCTACTGTTCATCGAGCATGAGGTGTGCCATAAGCAATAGTATAAAGAAACCATAAACAAATTATTGCCCATTGGCAATCGGGTGAAGATATTTCTGCAGATCAACTTTTAACATTGGAATACTAGAAAGTTTGTGATAAAATGATGACTCAAATGAAATGGAGGTTTGAAAAATTTTCAAATATTGCTGATGATTTTTAATTCCTTGTTGGTCATTCATTGAAGATCGAAGATATTGGCCCAGAAATATTTAACGAAATAGAATTTTTTGGTATCAAGTAAAAKAAATTCTACTAGAGTTACAAAACGGAACTGCTTTAAATATTTTAAATGCAATAAAAAAATATGAACTTGATTCAACTTGTCCATACTTAATGATTGTATGCAGATTGTTTCTTACCATGCCTGTYACTGTCACTTCCATGGAACGCTCTTTTAATAAATTGAAATTAACTAAGACATATTTACGATCAACCRTGTAATAATTAACCAATTCAGCAGCAATGTTGTCAATTGAGAATGAAATAAAAAAAAAAAWCAATGATTTTGAAGACGTCATTGAAGACTTTACTTCAAAACAGTCCAGGAAAATTAAGTTTTAACTAAGTAACTATATAATGATTTGAAAATATAATATAATATTTATATAATTTGTTRACTATCATAAAAAATATGTTATATGTTATATAAAAATTATATTACATAGTATGATAAATTTGTGATTTGTATTAATTTTTTAATTATTTTATTTAATAAATACTATTGTAATTAGCTTTAGTTTTTTGTCAAAAAATTTGTTGTACAAAAAAAAATTTCAATTAAATAAGTATAAAATGCATAGTCATAAATAAAATAGGAGGGCGAATATTTTTAATTTTTTCTTGGGCGCCAATTTTAATGACACGGCTCTGACTAAATGTATAAATTCAAATTAACTTAAATTGATGTTATACATAGGCCATAGCTACTCTTCATAAAAAAAGCCTAAGTAGCTCACAATTTAAAATGCAATTTAYTTGTGATTTTATTTAAGTTACATAAAGTTAATTATATTTTAAAATGTATACTTATCTTAATTTCAGATTGAAAATGTACGRATGTTGGACCGATATAATTCCAAAAAAACGTCTTCTGGTACATTATATTTAACAGCTACTCATTTAATATTTTTTGATACTGAAAATAATAAAGAATCTTGGGTGCTATTAATGCATATAGGCAATGTCGAAAAATTGCCTATTACAACTACTGGTTGTCCAATTCTAATAAGATGCAAAACATTCCTATCAGTCACATTTGTCATACCAAAAGAAAGAGATTCTCACAATATATTCACGTCACTGCTTGTTCTCTGCCAACCTGGTTTGTATTAGTTTGTTATTTAATTTGTAAATATACATTTATCTAAAGATAATACAATGTTAATGTAAATTTTCAGCAAAAATCGAAGATGTTTACTGTTTTTTATATAAGTCAAATTCTGATAAGATATCAAAAAGTGCTGGTTGGGATAGTTTTAATCTAGAAAAAGAATACCAAAGAATGAATGTACCAAATGAATCTTGGAGTCTTACTACATTAAATCAAGACTATCAGGTTGATATTTTTAATTGGTTGTATTTTTTTTTTATAATCATAATATGTATAATATGACATGATTATAAATCCATACAATTAATTATTAATCTATTAATTAATACATTATTGCAGTTGTGTGATACTTACCCAAAGTTCCTTTTTGTTCCATCGTCTGTGAGTACATCCATTTTAGTGGGCAGTTCTAAATTTCGTAGCAAGGAACGGTTACCAGTACTTACATACTTACACAGAAACAAGGTATTATTATAAATATTGTTTGGTTCTTGAAGTATACATTTTTCAATTTTAGGCATCTATTTGCCGTTGTGCTCAACCATTATCTGGATTTAATGCCAGATGTATGGAAGATGAGCAACTTCTCACATGTATACTATACACAAATCCAGGTAGCGAATATATGCATGTTGTTGATACCAGACCAAAGGTAATTTTCTTCTCAAAATAATAAACAAGACTTATTATTCAATATTATTAYGTGTATATTTTTAGATAAATGCCATGGCAAATCGAGCAACGGGGAAAGGTTATGAAAATGAAAACTTTTATGATAGCATAAAATTTAATTTCTTAGGTATAGAAAATATTCATGTAATGAGAAATAGCTTGTCTAAAGTTGTAGATTGTGAGTAATATTGTTATACAAATTATAAGTTATAAATAATACTTACTTATCTTTTTGGTTTGATTCAAATATTAATATTTCTTACTAGTATGTGAACAACGAAATCTATCTATGTCACAATTTATCGGAGGATTAGACAGTAGTGGTTGGTTACGACATATAAAAACTATTCTTGATACATCAGCTTTTATATGCCAAGCAGTTAATAGTGGAAAGTCTGTTGTTGTCCATTGTTCAGATGGATGGGATCGAACAGCTCAAGTATGTTCATTGGCTTCTCTAATGTTAGACCCATATTATCGCACACTTCAAGGATTCCAGGTATAATTAAATATTTTACTGAAAAGATGAAATTATATTCTGATTTTTAATTTTATTAAATACTAGGCGCTTATTGAAAAAGATTGGTTAGCGTTTGGTCACAAATTTAGTGATCGGTGTGGCCATATAGCTGGTGACTCTAAAGAAATATCCCCAGTATTTACACAATTTATTGAAGCAACATGGCAACTCACAATGATTCAACCTACYTCATTTGAATTCAACGAACGATTTTTATTAATTTTACAYGACCATGTAACATCCTGTCAGTATGGGACTTTTATTGGAAATTGTGAAAAAGAACGTGTTGATCTCAAGTAATTATATTACTCTTATTTGATAAAATTAGTTTAATAATTTAAATTCTAATATTTATTTTTAAAATAATTATTTAGACTCAAGGATCGTACATTTTCTTTTTGGGGTTATGTTGAAGAACATAAAAAAGAATTTTTAAATCCTCTTTATAGTGCTCAAACAGAAACCATGATCCCTGATTTATCACCTCAAAATATAAGATTTTGGCGAGGAATGTATTGCCGTTTTGAAAATGGAGTCCATCCACGTGAGCATGTATATGATATTTTACTTGCGACTAGTGAACAAACAAAATCTATTGATGATCACGTAAAATTCCTACAAAAAAGATTATCATATTTTAAACGTAAAATAACTGATGGTGCAGACATGGTCAGAAACAGTCTGTTCTCTAAAGAAATATGTATAGAGCCCATGAGCTACAATAGAGAAGACAATATTATACAATCTATGAATGATGCGTTTGATGATTTGACTGTTATGGAGCCAAAACTGGATGAAGCCCATAAGGTGGCTATTGAATGGAAGAGTTTACGAGAAGCCGTTTCTTGTGAATGTTCTACTGATTCTTCTACAAAAAAAGTAATACATTATTGTTGTAATTTAATTGATTTAACTACTTTTAAATGTATATTATTAGTTAACAAAAAATAACAATGTGGATATTATCATTAGCACATAAATAGYGTGTCAAAATTATGATCACAAATTAATCAACATAATGATAATATTGATACACTATTTATAGGTTTGTTATTAACATTTAAAACACCTAGCTTTTAGAACTCAATACACAATTAGGAAACAGGTTCTAAGATAAGACTGTCTTATGTGTTGTAGTGTTCCTGCTAGATTAATATTTGAAAACATAATAATTTTATTTATTTATTACATAATGGCTCCCTACACATAAGCATACTAGTGGTAGGAGTATAACTRACGTGACCATACGTCCCACTTTCGAGCTAAGTGTCCTGATATCCCCAAAGAACCTAAAAATGTCACACTTTAAGAAAAGACACTTTCTTATAAGATACCTAACCAATTRAATTCATCTAAAAATTAAGTTATAAGTATGCAACGGGCCCAATGTTATTCAACTTGTTTATGTTACAATGATAGGCTTTTTTTTTCTCTGGAAATTTATTTCTCTAATAATTTCACAGCACAAATTATACACTTTTTAATTACATTTTAATATAAATTACAGTATTTTAATATTTATATTTAAATTTTATTTTTAGTATCATTGTTGGAAATGTGGAAATGTGTTTTGTACTCGTTGTATAGATATGAATGTTTCATTACCTGGACACCTTAGTCAAGACCCTGTGCCTGTATGTCATGGATGTCGTAAAATTGTTTCAAGGTCATCAACAGAATCTTCTTAAGTTCGTTCTGTTATTATTAAACTAATTATTATTYAATTTTACTGACATTTAGACCAGTTACAAAATGTATACTTAAATCTGTAAATATAAGTACCTATTCCAGTTATAAATTGTTTATGTTACGAACATAGCCTAAATTATCTTATAAGTCTCAAAATTTTTAATTGTACCTAATTTTTCTTTTTTATAAAAAATAAAATCGATCGCGCAATACTGAATATATCACACCAAATAATATATATTATTTAAATAAATGGTATGTTAGCTTTAATTATATTCTAAGCAAATTGAGAAAAATATTGGCACAAATTGAGTAATAGTTTATATTATAAATTAAAAGTTATTTTGTTTTAATCATACTATTTAACAAACTTAAAATAATTTTTATTTTGTATTTAAATTACATTTATATTATGCAAGATCAACAATATTCTAATTTAAAAAATAAACATTAAATATATTTATATTTACTACCATTCATACATAAATATAAAACAATACTGAATTACTGAAGAATAATATTTTAATTGAGTTTTATACCTAATTTCAGTTTATGATATTTCATAAAATAAGAACATAAAACTATATCGATTTAAAATTTGAATAAATCAGTTCTGTGTAATTACACATTATAATTTAAAATTTAAAATTAACAAAACATTTTTAAGCTACATGTTAGATTAAAATTAAAATGACTAATTTATTTTAAAATGTAGTTGTTTATACCTGGTACAATTGAATAGTAGATCATTTTAATTAAATTTGTTTACATTTATATTAACCATGAATAATGTAGAAATAATAAATACTGAAATAATTAAAATTTTACATACACTATTGAGTATGTTACATATAATAGATAAAGTGCCTTTTAATTTTTTTAATTTGGATCAAACCTATACAATTAAAAAGTGATATATTAKGAATATACCTACCAATGATGAACCTTTAGTTTTTAGATAAAAATTTAAGTTTTAATAATGTCATTCTATTTCCTATATCATATTACTATATAATATATACATATATTATGTATTAGTGTATTACATTATTATAACCTAATATATTGTTTCCAGAACAATTATAAAAGTTTTATTTGATGTTTATACTAAGCAATGCCTTTAACATTTATTTTATGTACACAACTAAATAAGAAATTCATCTGTGTGTATATTCTTTTAAAAGTAAAACAGAAACATTTTTTAAAAAGCCGAAATATATTATTGAAAACCAAAATATTGATTTCATTTTTTAAATCCTTGCAAAACTTCCCTGTTGTTGTAATACGTATGTCTAATCAGTAATTTATGTATTTACACTATTTACAGTTTAAGTAAATTTTTTGTTCTCGTAGACTTGGATCTAGTACWCATTTCAACATTTGAGTTTCAGATTAAAAGAAATTAACGTTTTCCAATAGATTAGGTGGCAGGGGCATCAATCAGCCTCAACTTTAAGTTGCCCAATTACAAAATATTTTCGAATTACCTACATACCCTAAATTATTACTGCAATATAAAAAYAATCCGTATTAAATAAGAAATGATTGAGTAATAATTTATCGCAATAGAAAAAGGAGAACTTACAAAGTTGCAATTTCACACACTTTGTCTTCGTATTTCTCAAATAATAGTTAAGAACAACAACAGCARAGTGTGCTGTCGTTTTTGTGTGGAACCTTACCTAATATGTGAAAGCTATAATACTCATTAGCAATGCTTAGATCAGTTAGATCATACTGAACATAGCATAATAATGATATAATCTCATTAGTTATATTTTTGAGTTTTGATACATTTTTATAATAGCCTACAGGTTATATAGATAGAAAATCAAGAGAGTTGAAAGAAAGGTAGTTTTTTGATTTTGAAAATATATTTCTTTGAACATAAGAAATATGTTAATGATATAAATTAACGAATATTTCATCATTTTTGTGYGTAAAGTAGCTTATTAAAAGGGTGCTAAATGTCTCATATATTATTGTCTCAATCTTAAATGTGTTAAATATATCAAAAAATATTTTGCTTGGTAAAGAACCGAACGACGAGAAAACTACAATCATAACTAAGAAACGAAAAAAGTTATTCAAGTTTGAAAAATTCAAAAAAAATGGATTTTTGTTATTGTGATATCGAAAAAATAAAAAACAACGTTGCACAGTATAAATGTTTTTTTCTTTATAGTGCATGTGTGAAAATTTCGTTTCTTAGTTATGATAACTGTAACGCCTTCTTAGTTCTTAGTTCATTCTCGTAATACTCATTAGTTTATGTTAATATGTAGTTTAAAATTTGTAAGACAGAGACAATACATTTRGATTTAACGTCCTCTTAATGGAATACAAGGTTCCTCATAAGTTATTCTTGTAACAATTAAAATATACCTATGTAAAATAACTCATTCTGAACGTAGCGATGTACCTAKGTATCTAGGTATCGTTTTTACAATGTTTTTTCGTCTGTCATCAACTTTTGGGTTGAATATGCTTCGATTGACCATTTCAGCATCTTTTCTGACAGGAAAGTAAATCTAATTGGTGCGTTTGTGAGGATGAAATTGAAATTTCCCAGTAGTTATCGAAAGTTTAAGGAAAACAAAAAAAGGTCAACATATGGGTAATATACTGCGGCTCTGTTGTATAGTATTTTCGAGTAGGTTTATGTCATATTGTAAAATATTAAATACCTAATATGTATTATATTATTTGAATTCAATGATAAATTATTGCATACGAAAAACGAATCGAGAAGAGACTATTTGTGTTATCCTAGCATTCCTAGAATACTTGTATAAATAATCAAATTTAATGATTAAAAAAAAAATAATAAAAAAGAAAAGCATATTTTTCTGGTGAACTTTTTTACATAGAGGTGGTAGAAAAGTTGAAAATCTTCTGTTTAAAATTTTAATGTTAGTTATAAAAAGGAAAACTTTATGAACTTCTAACTGAAAATAATTTTTAAAAAAAGAAACATTTCTCATGGCTTTAAATAGCTAGAAAAAAAATTAAAACAGAAAATTTTACAATATATTATATGGAAAATGTTACTATGAATATTTGTTGAATATTTTAAATTCACAATAAATAACGTTACCGTCATTTTTTTTTTTTTTAAAGTAGAATAAAATTATTAAAAATAATTATTATAGTAGAAAAACTATTACGAGAAATCATCCATTAAATTTCTAATGTTAGTAATGAAAATCAAAACTTTTATGAATTTCTAATTGAAAAATACTTTGCGAATTTTGTCAAAATTTAAATTTAAATACTAATAAAAAAGATCATCTATTATAACTTTTTGATAGGTAGGTACATAAAAACTAAATGCTAATGCGTAGAGTAATGCGAGTATACCTACCTATACATAACAGTACAAATTGGCACAATGGTGTCCAGAAAAATTATAAATATCGGTCCACTATTTTGCTTATCTAAACTAAAAGGTATCCCTACCAGGTACCTATTTTCTTATATAGTTATAAGTTATAACTATATATTAAAAGTAATTATTTATTAGTTGAAAATTCGATTATTATGTTCCTAAAAATTCTAAAAACTATTTTTCTTTGGACATTTTAAWTAAGTGCCTTACCTATTTATATTGATATTGAGTTGTTCAATTAAGTAAAAAACCCTTAATAGTTAATACCTATTAATAAAAAAAAATATAAAATAAAAAAGTTAAAATTTATTGCGATAGGTAGGTATATATTTGTATAATTGTATTATGAATGTAGAACTTACATGGATTACCTATAGTGTATATATCCAAGCTTCCAAGCATGATCACTTCCGAATTTTCCCTTAATTAATAAATTTATTAAAATTCTCCAGATTTAAAGCAGGTACCTAATTTTTATAAGAATTTTTGTGTAGCATTATTGAACGAGTATYTTTATTGATTCTTGAGGCAATACAAATCTTTTTTAAAATCAACGATTTTCCAATAAATTGTTTAGATTGCATAAGCTGAAAAAATAAAAGCTGCAGCATAGTTTAATAATTGTTGTCATTACATATCAAGGAATAGTTGTATTTTTCAAATTAAAGTTTTTTTTTCTAATTTTTGATGAAGTTGAGATGATTTTAAACTGTGTTAAATACCTTGGTAAGCAGAAATCACCATCTACCCTAACTSCGCTGATTTTCATGATAAAAGTACCAGCCATACGCGTGTCCACGGGCGGTGCAGGGTATGCACCTGCACCCTCTGCAATTTCAAGAGGCACAATGAATTATTAAGAAAATTATTCAAAAAAGGGGGCTAGGGCCCATTAGCCCCTTGCAGGGTACGCACCAGGTTGCGTCCACTATCTGCGTCAAAGGTCTAGCACGCCTATTATGATGGGTACCAGCTACATAAAAGTTATAAGAGGTTCTTCACTTTTTTAAATTTCGACTTGCAAATACCTATATCGACGCTCTTAAATTCATCAGGTGAGTGTATATTTTTTGTTTAAAGCATCAAYCCCTTGTCATTCCTATATAGATCAATCCATGTATTATTGCATTTTATGAGTGTTTAAAATATAAAATATAAGTACTGCCCGTCGGCGTCTTWGTAAACCATAAACCTAAAAACATAAACACTATTAGGTCTATGCTTTGAACAGTCGTGAATCGTGATAAAATAAGTACGCATTTTAATATTTTAATATTTAATACATAATAGGAGTACATAAAGCATGGAGTACACACTGCGCGCGACTGCAAYTACAACACGTCTGCGTAGCTTTATGCGTATATGCAAGCTCCGCCCCGGCGCCACGGACTCGTCGGTTGGCCGGCGCGAAGAACTATACATGCTCCCTGCGGCCGTCCACCGATGGGCGCCCCTCCCTCCAAAAGGGTCGTACACAAAAATTTCACATAAACAAATTATACGGTTCATTGTTTTATTATTATTATCATCATCATCGTTAGCCGCGGAATACAATCTATTATACTAAACTTGTCTATTATGCGCGAAGTTACCGGTGCGCACTGCAYTATTTCCGCACCTACCGCCGCCTAGCGTTACATCACGCACCGATCGACCAATGTCGTCGTCGTCGTTTTCGTCGACCGCGGTCACTCAGCACAACCTGCTGTCGGACGGACTGTCTTCGTTGGTGTTGTCAAAGAGGTACCTGACGCGCTCCAGACCGCTGCACGTGTACAAGCTGGATCGCGAGAACAATCTGCTGGACGGCGGCGGCGGCGGCGGCGGAGGCGGAGGAATCTGCGAAGACTCTGTCGCCGCCGACTGCAGTAGTTGGCAATCGACCGCCTGGGTGC